GTGCGGGGACACGGGGCCGGCTCCGGGCCCGCTCCCGGCTCTGGGCCCGCTCCCAACCCCGCTCCCGGTCCCCGCTCCCGGCTCCCAACCCCGCTCCCAACCCCGTTCCCGGCTCCGGGCCCGCTCCCGGCTCCGCACCCAACCCCGCTCCCGGGCCCCGCTCCCGGTCCCCGGGCCCCGACCCCGCTCCCGGTCCCCGCTCCCGGCTCCGGGTCCCGGCCCCGCTCCCGCCGCCTCCCGCAGATGCTCGCGGCTCATTTGCACAAGCAATGAAGGCAGCAATTAAGTTCCCTCATCATCTCGGCGGGCTGGGAAAAGAGCTCCCTCCTCCTGCGTCAGGCACTGCTGGGAAGAGGCTCTGGAGGGGTGAAATTCCTACCCCGAGGCGAAATTCCCACCCGGAGGCGAAATTCCCACCCGGAGGTGAAATTCCCACCCCGAGGTGAAATTCCCACCCCGAGGTGAAATTCCCATCCCCACCGGCACTGGGGAAACTGAGTCACGGCTGAGCTGGAACTGCCGGCACAGGCACGGAGAGAACCCCGGCCTGGAGTGGGCTGGGAGGAGCCCAAAATTCCACTGGATCTCCACAGGGGGATTGGGAGATTGTTTTAGGGCCCTTCCAGTGGGAATATTCTATTCTATTCTATTCTATTCTATTCTATTCTATTCTATTCTATTCTATTCTATTTATCTCTATTCTATTTACCTCTATTTTATTTCTAATTTATTTCTAATTTATTTCTATTTTTCCTCCTTTATTTCTATTTTTCCTATTTTATTTCTAATTTTTCCTATTTTGTTTCTATTTTTTTTTGCCCTGTTTAATTTCTATTTCGTCTCTATTTAATTTCTATTCCATTCTATTCGTCCCTCTTCCATTCCTCCTTTATCTCGCTCTCCTCCAGCCGAGCTCTGAGTCAATTAAAATCAATCCCCACCCCCAAACGAGAAACAAACGCAGCGAAAAGCGCAGCCCTGAGCCAAGGAAAATAAAAAAATCTCCTCTCGGCCGGCTCATCCCCACTGACACTCGTTTCCTCCGGGCAGCGAAATTCCTGATCCAGCAGCAGCAGCAGCCCCGGGATCAATCGGTTCCCAAAGAAGGAGCCGGCCCCGCCCGGGGATCGATCAATCGCCGATAATGATCGATAACGATCGATAATGATCGATAACGCTGCCGGGCGTGGCCCCGTGCTCCCTCCCTGCCCGTTCCCCATTCCCGGCATTTTCTCCCCGCGGTTTTTGGAGCTGCCCGGCCCTGGTTTCTCTCCGGGGTTTGTTTTTTCCAGCCCCGCTCGGCTCTCCCGGAGGTTCCTCCAGGCCGGCCTTATAAGGGCCCGAGGATCCATCCCGAACCCCCCCTGCTGCCGGCAGGGTGATGGATGGCGCTGGAAAACACGGGAAGAACGGGAAAAAGGGAAGGGGGAGGCCGGGAGCTGCCGGAGAGGGGGAGGGAGGGAGGGATTGCAGGCCTGGAAATCAGGGAGAGAAATGGGGGGCAGAGGGGAACACCCCGAGGGGATGGGAGCGGGACTGGGGGCTTTGGGGAGAGCTGGGTCCCTCCTGCCCTGGGGCCTTTGGGGTGCTCTGAGCCTCGGGGTCACACCCCAGCCCCAGCGGGACAATCCTGCGTCCTCCATGTCCCTCATGTCCTCCCTGTGTCCCCCCATGTCCCCCCTGTGTCCCCCCATGTCCCCCCTGTGTCCCCAAGCCCTGCAGTCCATCCCAATGGGAATTCACCTTCCCTGCTCCAGCCACACCCCAGAATCGCCCCATCCCTGTAGGAACAGAACAACTGGGCCCCATTTCCATGGGATAAATGACCGCATCCCTATGGGAATAACTGACCCCATTTCCATGGGAATAACTGACCCCATCCCTATGGGAATAACTGACCCCAGCCCTATGGGAATCACGGCCCCATTTCCATGGAATCACAGCCCCATTTCCATGGAATAACTGACCCCATCCCTATGGGAATCACAGCCCCATTTCCATGGAATAACTGACCCCATTCCTATGGGAATAACTGACCCCATTCCTACGGGAATCATGGCCCCATTTCCATGGAATTACAGCCCCATTCTTATGGGAGTCACAGCCTCATTTCCATGGAATAACTGACCCCATCCCTATGGGAAAAACTGACCCCATCCCTATGGGAATCACAGCCCCCTTTCCATGGAATAACTGACCCCATTCCTACAGGAATCACGGCCCTATTTCCATGGAATCACGGCCCCATTTCCACGGAGTAACTGCACCCCATCCTGCAGGAATCACAGCCCCATCCCAACGGGAAAATCTCCCCTTGGAGACGATTTTCTAGAGCACTCCCCACTTTCCCCAGGCTGCATCCAGGGCATGGGTGGGGTGGGATGGGATGGGATGGGATGGGATGGGATGGGATGGGATGGGATGGGATGGGATGGGATGGGATGGGCAAGGCTGGATTCAGGGAGAGGTGGGAGGTGTCCTAGGCAGTCCCTTCCCAGCTGCCCCAATTCAGGGACGGGTTTTTTCTCCCGAATGCAAAACGGCTCCGAGGGCCGCTCCTGGTGCTCCTCAGGGCTCCCGGGGCTGCTCCCGGTGCTCCTCGGGGCTCCCGGGGCTGCTCCCGGTGCTCCTCAGGGCTCCCGGGGCTGCTCCCGGTGCTCCTCAGGGCTCCCGGGGCTCCCTTGGAGCTGCAGCTCCAGGGCTGCTGCCGGTCCCGCCTGCCGGGAGCGCCGGGAGCCCGGATCAGACCGGGTCGGGCTCTTCCAGGGCAGGGGAATTTCCCGGGATGGTCCCAGAGTGGCACCGGGACACGGGGGTGGCCGGGACGGGGCTCGGGGACCGCGGGCCACGACCTCGGTGTCCCCAGCATGGAGGGAGGAGGAGGAGGAGGAGGGCGAGGAGGGGGAGGAGGGATTTATCCGAGGGCCTGAGAGAACATCTGGATTTGCCACTTGCTGCGGGGAATTAATTGTGGGATCCCGCGGCTGCTCCCCGCTGTGCCAGCCCTGCCTCCCGTCTGCTCCGGGAGTGCCCCCAGGGACGGTGGCCCTGCAAGTCCTGTCACCCCCTCCCGTCCTGCTGGGGCTGGGGTGCCATCGGTGACCCCATAAAAACCCCTTAAAATGCTGGGATTATGGCCGGCATCCCAACCAAAGCCCGGGTGGGCATCCCAAAAAAACCCTGGGTCGGCACCCCAATCCCGGGTGAGCACCCCAATCCCGGGTGGGCACCCCAATGCTGGGTGGGCTCCCCAATCCCGGGTGGGCATCCCAAAAAAACCCTGGGTGGGCACCCCAGCCCCGGGTGGGCTCCCCAATGCCGGGTGGGCACCCTAATCCCGGGTGGGCACCCTAATGCTGGGTGGGCACCCCAATCCCGGGTGGGCACCCCAATCCCGGGTGGGCACCCCAGCCCCGGGCAGCTCCCAGCCCGTTCCCACCTGGCCCCAGCGCGGCGTTCTTGGCTGTGAACTCCGCTCCATGTGGCTCGCAGATGTTCCGCCCGTGCCGGAGAACAAACGGCGGCTTTGGCTCGGCTTGAATCCCGCGGAGGAGCCGCGAGAGAGGGAATTCCGTGCAGCCCTGCCCGGGCTGAGCCGGGCGGGAGCAGCCGGCCCCGAGCACCTCGGAGGCTCCAGAATTGGCTTTTGCAGAGGAAATCCAGCGGGATCCCGGGGCTGCAGGGGTGGGAACTGCTGGATTTTGGGAGCCCCAGAAGCACCTGCAGAGCCCGGAGCGGGCAGGAAACACCTGGAGCTGGAGACGCACACGAGGCCAAATCCGCTGGGCCGTGGCCACGGGAGCCGCCCCGGGGCAGTGACAGCGAGACAGGGGCGCTCCTGTGGCACCAGCGACCCCGTGGCACTGCTGGGTGACCCCGCAGAGCCGTGCCAGGGGTGACACAGCGCTGTGGGACAGAGGAACCAGCCCTGGCATTTCAGAGCCGTGCCAGAGCTGCGGGATGGGGGAACCAGCCCTGGCATTTCAGAGCCGTGCCAGGGGTAACACAGAGCTGCGGGACAGGGGAATTTCATTTCAGAGCCGTGCCAGGGGTGACACAGCGCTGTGGGACAGGGGAATGAGCCCTGGCATTTCAGAGCCGTGCCAGGGGTGACACAGCGCTGCGGGACAGGGGAATTTCATTTCAGAGCCGTGCCAGGGGTGACAGCGCTGTGGGACACGGAACCAGCCCTGGCATTTCAGAGCTGTGCCAGGGGTGACACAGAGCTGTGGGACACGGAACCAGCCCTGGCATTTCCAGGAGCCAGCCCTGGCATTTCCAGCTGCCGGCGCTGTGGGATCGGGCAGGGCCCGTGGCCGGGCAGAGCCGCCCTGGAGCGCCAGGACAAAGGAGGTGGCACGCGGGGACCTTTCAGGGACCGCAGGACGCCCAGATGGGATTTTGTTTGCTGTGGAGGGCAGAAATACAAAGATTTGATTCAGCCCCCGCCGCATGTCCCCCTCTGGGGCCTCTCGGTGTCACCCGCAGAGCGGGGACAGGCCCGGGGTGTCCCCAGGGTGGGGATGCTGTCCCTTGTCCCCTGCGGCCGGAGCAGCGCTGGTCACCCCATCCCGGTGCCGTCGGTGACCCCACCCCGCTGGGGACACAAGGACAGACGGACAGACGGACGGGGAGAGGAGGGGGCGCAGAGGGGCAGAAGGACGGACGGACAGCGCGGGAGGAAAAGGGATGGATGGGCTGGGGAGCTCGGGGCGAGCGCACCCCAAAAGCGCTCGGGGGGCACCGGAGGGACCGGGGGGCGCCCGGGGGGGCTCGGGGGGCTCGGGCTTTGTGTGGCGGCGGCGGCGGCGGCGGAGGGTGCGGGCTTGGCCGCTCCGTGATGCTCCGAGGGCGGGGAGGAGGAGGAGGAGGAGGAGGAGGAGGAGGGGGAGGGACTTGCAGCCCTTTTCTGGCCGCCGCCGCGGCGGAGAGCGGCAGAGCTCGGGCAGCCCGGCCGCGCTCCGGCTCCCGGGGGTGTCACCGGCGCCGCTGCCCCCGCCATGGCCGGGCTCCTGCCGCTGCTGCTGCTGCTGCTGCCGGCGGTGAGTGCGGGGAGCAGCGCCCGGGGAGCCCCGCGAGCCCCGCGGGGAGGGGATGCGGCGTCCCGGGGGCACCGGGAGCGGCTCCGGAGGCACCGGGGCACGGGGAGTCCCCCCGCGGGATGGAGGGGCCCGGGGGCTTCGCACGGGGCGGGTTCGGAGGGGCCCGGGCTCACCGGGATGGGAGCCCCGCGGGTGAGGAGCGGGGGCAGCGCCGTGCGGGGCTGGAGGGTCCCGGGGACACCGGAGAGCCCCGGGGGGGCGGGCGGAGCTCTTGGGGTGCGGGGGGAGCTGGGCGGGGATGGGGGTCCCTCAGCCCCGCCGGTGCCGCTGTCCCCGGCTCTGCCACTGCAAAGGGCGACGGAGCCGCAGCCCGAGGGGAGCGGGCACAGAACGAACCCCCCCGGTGCCTTCATCAGTGCCCCCCACGCACCCCCCGAAACCTCTCCCGGACTTTCCCGGCTCCGAAGTGCCCCAGAGCTGGGGCTGAGACCCTTTCGAGACCCTTTTCCCCCTGGCAGAGCCCTCGCCGTGCGCCCCAGACAAAAAAAAACTTCAGGGCAGGGGCAGGGGGGGCCGGCAGAGAGGGGACAGGGGCGGGGAGGGGGGTCCAGGCCCGCAGCTGGGGCAGGATCGGGGCCGTTTTGGGGCCAGGATTTGCCGGGGGTCCCAGGGGGGCCGTCAGGCACCGGACACCCCTCGGGCAGGATATTAAAGGCGGAGTTCAGGCGGGCAGGGCCGGGGAGCGGAGCGGGGCTGGCACCGCCGGCCCGGGGGGGCCTTTCCCCCTTTCCCCTTTTCCCCCTTTCCCCATCGCCCCCTCGGGATCGGGGTGGCCAAACCCCCCCTCCCACCCAGGGCTGCTGGGACAGGGGCGGGGACAGCAGCGCCCGGAGCTGTCCCGGCCGGATGGATCCCAACCATTCCCCCCGGGCATCGCCCCCTCGCCCCCCCGGCTGCTGCGGATGTCCCCAAATCGCCGCTGCCCCGCTCGGGGGCACCTCCGGGGCCGGCTCCGCCCTCCGGGACTGCACCTGCGGGGCTGGGAGTGTCCCGGGAGGGACAACGGGGACCCGGCTGTGCCCCCCCAGCTGTGCCCGCACCCCGGGACCCTCCCGAGACCCTCCGGGATCCCCGGGACCCCGCAGCCGCTGCTCGGAACCTGCCAGGGCCGGCCGGAGCTCGGACGTGGCTCCCGGAGCTGCCCAAAGTTGGGGAATCGCTGGGAGCCGGGATTTGGCCTCTCCCCGACGCGGGGCTCGGCCAGGAGAGGCAGAACGCGCCCGTCAGGCTCGGATCTCGGCCGGGCTCGGCTCCAGCTGGAGCATCCCCTGCCCTGTGCGGCCGCTCCGCGCTCCGGGGCTCCCAAATCCCGCTCGGAGCGGCTCCGTCCTCACCCGGCAGCGCCTGCCCGGGCTCCAACCCTCCCCGAGCCGGCTCCAAAAGCAATTCCGAGCTTCCAGAGGTGTCGCCGGCGCCCTCCGCCCGCGGCCGGGCCGGGCCAGCTGTCAGGGATGCTTTATGGCGTTAATTCCGCGCCTTTGTCACCGGGAGCCGCGCTAAGGACGCGCGCGTTTCCGCGGCCTAACGCGGACCAGGTGCCGCTGCCCAGGCTCGGGGGGGCTCGGAGCCCCCAGCCCCGAAGGGAAACCCCCGGAACGGGGGGCCCGCGGCACCTGGAGCGGGGAATCCGCAGCGTTCCCGGAGCGTGGGCGGGGGAGCCGGCGGGGACAGGGGGAGGCCCCGCGGGGAGGGGACAGGTGGCACCGGGAGAGGAACCGGGTGGCCCCGGAGAGGAACGGGGTGGCCCGGCCAGGCCCGTCCCACACGGGCAGCTCGCAGCTGTAGGGGAGATGGGAGATCTGGGATAGGGGGAAAATTTGGGATCGGGGGAAATTCTGGGATTGGAGGTAGATCCGGGATCAGGGGAAGATCTGGGATCCCTGGAAACTCGGGGATTACGGGATGCTCTGGGGTCTTTGGGTGCTTTGGGATCAGGGGAAGATCTGGGATCGTGGGATGCTCTGGGATCGGAGAAAGATCTGGGATCGTGGGATGCTCTGGGATTAAGGGAAGATCTGGGGTTACTGGGATCAGGGGAAGCTCTGGGATCATGGGATGCTCTGGGGTTTCTGGATGCTCTGGGATTGTGGGAAGCTCTGGGATTGAGGGAATCGTGGGATGCTCTGGGGTCTCTGGGATCTCTGGAATCATGGGATGCTCTGTGATCTCTGGAAGCTCTGGGATCTCTGGGATCATGGGATGCTCTGGGATCTCTGGGGTCTCTGGAAGCTCTGGGATGCTCTGGGGTCTCTGGGATCATGGGAAGCTCTGGGATCTCTGGGATCATGGGATGCTCTGGATGCCTCGTGTTCAGCCCCATCACCAGTCACATCCAGCCCCATTCCCGGCCGCTGGAAGCGCATCCCGGGGATCTGGGAGCTGCCAGACCCTACCCCAGAGGAGCTCGGCATGGGCTGTGCCCAGCTGGGCTCCAAAACCCCCAAATGTGCCCCCAATGTGTGGGCACAGCCTCACCCCAAAGCCCTTCCCAGGGGACATTTGGGGTGCTGGGAGGGTTCCCGATATTCCAATCCCTCCTGCCTGCCTGGAGTGGGAAAAGGGGCTGGGAAAAGGGACCTGGGAAAAGGGGTTGGAAAAAAGATCTGGGAAAAGGGACCTGGGAAAAGGGACCTGGGAAAAGGGACCTGGGAAAAGGGACCGGGGAAAAGGATCTGGAAAAATGTTCTGGGAAAGGGTCTGGGAAAAGGGACTGGGAAAATGTTCTAGGAAAAGGGGGTGAGAAAAGGGGCTGGAAAAAGGTTCTAGGGAAAGGATCTGGGAAAGAGGATCTGGGAAAATGTTCTGGAAGAGGGTCTGGAAAAAGGGTTTGGAAAAGGGTCTGGGAAAAGGGCTTGGGAAAAAGGGCTGAGAAAAGGGTCTGGAAAAAGGAGCTGGGAAAAGGTTCAGGAAAAGGATCTGGAAAAAAGGGTCTGGGAAAATGTTCTGGGAAAGGGCCTGGAAAAAGGGTTTGGAAAAAAGGGCTGAGAAAAGGGTCTGGGAAAAGGTTCAGGAAAAGGATCTGGAAAAAAGGGTCTGGGAAAATGTTCTGGGAAAGGGCATGGGAAAAGGGTCTGGAGAAAGGTTCTGGAGAAAGGGTCTGGAAGAAGGGGCTGCCAGGGCGGGCGGGCTGGCGGGGGCGCGGCGGGGAGGGGGAGCGGCCGCCTCGCAGCGCAGGGTAATTGGAGCACTTTGTCATTCAGCTGCCTGGAATTGGCGCTCCATTGTCTCGGCCCCGCCGGATGCGGAGCTCCGAGCGCCGCACCGAGCGCGGGGACGCGGCCAAGGCGCTGACGAGGCCGCCAGATGCTCCCCCGGGCCTCTCCCCCCTTCCCCAAAATCAACCGTGGGTGGGTGGCGGAGGGAGGGAGCGGGGCTGCGAGCGGGAGGGGCCTGGCAGGGCCGGCACCTGCTGCGGGACGGGGCTCCCGCACCCCGCGGGGCTTTGGGGGGCAGCTCGGCCCTGCCCGGGCTGCAGAGCCCCGTGGGGGTGGCCCCGGGGTGTTGGTGGCGCTCAGGGGCGGTGTCAGCAGCCAGGGAGGGCACCGAGGCTCCTGCTGCTCCCTCAGTTCCCCGTTCCTGGTGCCCAGAGGGTTTTGGGGGGCAGAGGTGCCACCCAGGCTCTCCAGAGCCTCCACGGGGGCAGGAATTCCTCTCCTCTCCTCTCCTCTCCTCTCCCTCTCCCTCTCCCTCTCCCTCTCCCTCTCCCTCTCCCTCTCCCTCTCCCTCTCCCTCTCCCTCTCCCTCTCCTCTCCTCTCCTCGGGAAGGGGACGTGGCTGAGGAAGGGACAAGGACAAACAGAGGCCACATCACCCCAAACCCCCCTGAGGACCCTCCCAGCTCCCTCCAGCACAGAACTCAGCAGGGCCTTTCCCGAGCAGTGAATTCTGCCTGGAAAAGCGCTTTTGTTTCCCCCCAAATCCGCATTCAGCACGAGTGGGGTGTCCCCAGAGCGGGCCCTTCCCGGGCTGTCCCATCCCGGGGGTGACAGGGGTGACAGGGGTGACCTCTGGGCTCTGCTCTCCCGCCAGGGTCCCGGGGCCGGCGCCTCCAAGGACGATTGCGTGTCCAAGCTGTTCACGGCGGGCGGGGAGTGCTGCCGGCTCTGCAACGTGGGCGAGGGCGTGGTGCAGCCCTGCGGGGTCAACCAGACGGTCTGCGAGCCCTGCCTGGACAGTGAGTGCCCCAAACACCACCTGTCCCCCCTGCACGTGTCACAGCGTTCCCGGGCCACCCCTCTGCTGAGTCAGGAGGGGCTCGGGCCGGGCTCTGGGCAAAGGATGGGTTAAAATGGGAGATTCTTCCCCCAGAATGGGAGTTTGGGGTGTGGAGAAGGGCACAGACACATTGTGGGGTCAGGGCAGCGCTGTCAGGTACAGGGAGGGGTTTGGGATGTGCACAGGGGGGTTTGGGATGGGCACAGGGAGGGTTTGGGATGGGCACAGGGAGGGTTTGGGATGTGCACAGGTACAGGGAGGGGTTTGGGATGTGCACAGAAGGGTTTGGGATGGGCACAGGGGGGATTTGGGATGTGCACAGGGAGGGTTTGGGATGGTCCCAGGCACAGGGAGGGGTTTGGGATGGGCACAGGGGGGGTTGGGATGGGCACAGGGGGGTTTGGGATGGGCACAGGGGGGTTTGGGATGTGCACAGAAGGGTTTGGGATGTGCACAGGGGGGTTTGGGATGGGCACAGGCACAGGGAGGGGTTTGGGATGTGCACAGAAGGGTTTGGGATGTGCACAGGGGGGTTTGGGATGGACACAGGGGGGTTTGGGATGGTCCCAGGCACAGGGAGGGGTTTGGGATGTGCACAGGTACAAGGGGGTTTGGGATGTGCACATGGGGGATTTGGGATGTGCACAGGGAGGGTTTGGGGCAGGGAGGGAGCAGACAGGAGGCAGAGGAGGCTGGAGGAGCAAAGCCAGGGCAGGGCTAAAAATACCTCAGCGTCCTGAGAAATCGATGGACGGCTCTGCCTGCCTGAGCCCGGCCGGGAAACGGGGCTGGATCCCTCCTGGATCAGGGGATGGATCCCAATGGGGGACAGATCCCAATGGGGGACAGATCCCAATGGGGGACGGATCCCAATGGGGGACGGACCCCAGTGAGGGATGGATCCCAGTGAGGAATGGATCCCAGTGAGGGATGGATCCCAGTGAGGAATGGATCCCAGTGAGGAATGGATCCCAGTGAGGAATGGATCCCAGTGAGGGACGGATCCCAGTGAGGGACAGATCCCAATGAGGGATGGATCCCACCAAGGGAAAATCTCCTCCCCACCCTCAGCTCTTCCCTGAGAGGGATTTTGGGGTGTGGAGGGAAGGAAACCTGCAGACCCCGCAGGTGTCCCTTGCTGGGATGGGGAGAGGACTCAGATGCCCCTGAATCCCCCTGGACATGCCCGGATCCCCCTGGACATGCCTGGATCCCCCTGGAAACCCCCAGATCCCCCCGGATCCCCCCGGATCCCCCCGGATCCTGCTGCCACGGGCCGGGCAGGTGGAGGCAGCCCCGCGGCTGGCACGGCCTCCAGACTGCGCCCCAGGAATGTGGGCACGGCCCAGGGCCGAGGGTCCCCACCTGCACCCGGGGCTGCCTCCTCCGAGCACTCCCTTGGACGCGTTCCCGACCCTCCGGGGGAATCGTTCCGGAAAAAATCCTCTGCAACCGAAGCCCGGCCCCTGCCAACGCCCGGGGGGCTGCCAGAAACCACCCCAGAGAGGGGGGGATTGCTCTCATTCCCCCTTTTCCCCCATCGCAGCCTCCCCAGGGCCCGGGGGCTGCCTCATGATTTATTTATGCCCCGCAGCCTCCGGGGGAGGGAGGAAGGGAGGGAGCGCTGGGGGCTCGGGCCCCGTTCGGAGCGGGGCTGTAATTGCTCAGCTCAGATCCCTTCGGCTGCCACTGCAAATGTGCCCACTCAGCCGAAAGCCTTTCCTGGCCACTTCCCCGCTCTAATGGCGCCCATCAATAATTCAGGATAATGCAAGGCATGAGCCCAGGTTAATGGGAGCCGCGTGTGCCGCCCCGGGGCTGCTCCGGCGCTGCTCGGGCACGGGGCAGGGGCTGCGCGGGGCTGGCGGCGACAGCGACAGCGGCACCAGGGGAGCCGCGGCTGCCCCGACCCCGCGAGTGGCCGAGGATGGGTTTGGGAGCAGCCTGGGATAGCGGGAAGGGTCCCTGTCCAGGACGGGGTGGGGTTTGCGGTCCCTCCTGACCCCAAACCTGTCCGGGGTTTTGTGGCTCCGCGTCCTCTGCAGGTCCAGGGAAAGCCTCAGGGCAGGGCCAGGACACCCGGGCACAGGCACAGGGTGAGGGAAGGTGCTGGGAAGGGGAAAAATCCACTGCTGAGGCTGGGATGGAACCCCCATCCCTCCCATCCCGCCCATTCCCGGGGGTTCGGGGCAATCCCCCCAAAACAGCCCCAAATTCCTGTCCTTCCCTCGGTGTCCCCAGGGAAGCTGCTGGGAGCAGGAACCCATTCCCAGCACCATCCCTGGGGCTGAGCAGGGCTCGCAGGGGTCCCCAGCCCCTTCTCCACCCCTGGGGCTGGAATTTCCCCGGATGGGATGGGGCGGGCAGCGCGGGGGCAGCAGCAGCAGCAGCTGCGCCCTCCAGGACGGGCTCCGCTCCTTCTTCCGGGGCTAAAAATATCGCCGAGCTCCTCCGGGAGCGGGCACAGCGCGGAGCGGGCATTGATTTCCCCCGCAGCGCGTCCTGCGGGCTGAAACCCGAGCGCAGGAGCCGCGGGGTCAGGCAGAGTCAGCGCTGCCACCATCGCACCCGGAGCGGGGACACGAGGGGAGCCCGGCAGGATGTGCAGGGGAAAGCGAGGGGGTGTGAGGGGAGGGGATGGCCCCGGGAGGTCAGAAAGGGGAATAAAATCGGGAATTAGCGCGGGGATAGGCAATGGGGGCAGCGCAGCCAGGCCGGACCCCGGGGGGAAATGGGAATGGGGAAGGTGTTAATGGGAAGGATGCTGCAAACTGGGAATTGCGGAGGAATGGGAGGAGGAGGAGGGAATGGAGATGAAGAGACGTGAATGGGGATGAGGTGGGAATGGGGATGAGGTGGCAGGAATGGTGCAGATGTCAATAGGAAGCTGAGCCTGGAAGGATGCTCCAAACTGGAATTGCAGAGGAATGGGATGAGGAGGCGGGAATGGGATGAGGAGGCGGGAATGGGGAGGATGTTACTGGGAAGCTGAGCCTGGAAGGAAGCTCCAAACTGGGAATTGCCGGGGGAATGGTGCAGGTGTCAATGGGAACGGGAGCCTGGAGTGTGCTGGAGCTGGGAATTGTGGTGGGAATGGAGAAGGTGTTAATGGGAATTTGGGTCTGGAAGGATTCCAGATTGGGAATTGCAGAGGAATGGGATGAGGAGGTGGGAATGGGGAATTGCAGAGGAATGGGATGAGGAGGCAGGAATGGGATGAGGAGGCGGGAATGGGGAATTGCAGAGGAATGGGATGAGGAGGCGGGAATGGGATGAGGAAGTGGGAATGGGGAAGATGTTACTGGGAAGCTGAGCCGGGAAGGAGGCTCCAAACTGGGAATCACTGGAGAACGGGGAAGGTGTGAATGGGCTGAAGAGCCCAGGGTATGAGGAGCTGGGAATTTCTGCGGGAACGGGGAGAGTTCATTAACAGGAAGCCGAGCCTGGGGGGGCCGCAGAGGGGGCACCCCCGTCCCTCTGACCCCAGAGGGGACGGCTGGACCCCGAGGCCGAGCTTTGGTTCCCTCCATGCCCGCCAGGCGTCACCTTCTCGGACACGGCGAGCGCCACGGAGCCGTGCAAGCCGTGCACGCAGTGCGAGGGGCTGCAGAGCATGTCGGCGCCCTGCGTGGAGACCGACGACGCCGTGTGCCGCTGCGCCTACGGCTACTTCCAGGACGAGGCCAGCGGGAGCTGCCGCGAGTGCCGCGTCTGCGAGGTCGGCTTCGGCCTCATGTTCCCCTGCAAGGACTCGCAGGACACCGTGTGCGAGGAGTGCCCCGAGGGCACCTTCTCCAGCGAGGCCAACTTCGTGGACCCCTGCCTGCCCTGCACCACCTGCGAGGACAACGAGGTGCTGGTGCGGGAGTGCACGGCCGTGGCGGACGCCGAGTGCCGGGGTAAGAGCGTGCGCGGCGTGGCTGTGTCATTGTCACTGCTCTGCTGTCATTGCTGGGACATTCCCGGTGTGGCTGTGTCATTGTCACCGCTGTGCTGTCACTGCTGGGACATTCCCGGTGTGTGCCATTGTCACCACTCTGCTGTCATTGCTGGGACATTCCCGGTGTGTGCCATTGTCACCGCTCTGCTGTGGGGTAAGAGCGTGCATGGTGTGGCTGTGTCATTGTCACCGCTCTGCTGTCATTGCTGGGACATTCCCGGTGTGGCTGTGTCATTGTCACTGCTCTGCTGTGGGGTAAGAGCTGTGCATGGTGTGGCTGTGTCATTGTCACTGCTCTGCTGTCATTACTGGGACATTCCCGGTGTGGCTGTGTCATTGTCACTGCTCTGCTGTCACTGCTGGGATGTTCCCGGTGTGTGCCATTGTCACCGCTCTGCTGTGGGGTAAGAGTGTGCATGGTGTGCCTGTGTCATTGTCACCGCTCTGCTGTGGGGTAAGAGCTGTGCATGGTGTGGTTGTGTCATTGTCACCGTTCTGCTGTCATTGCTGGGATGTTCCCAGTGTGTGCCATTGTCACCGCTGTGCTGTCATTGCTGGGACATTCCCGGTGTGGCTGTGTCATTGTCACTGCTCTGCTGTGGGGTAAGAGTGCACACGGTGTGGCTGTGCCATTGTCACCGCTTTGCTGCCACCGCTGGGACATTCCCGGTGTGGCTGTGTCATTGTCACGGCTCTGCTGTGGGGTAAGAGCGTGCACGGCGTGGCTGTGTCATTGTCACTGCTCTGCTGCCACCGCTGGGACGTTCCCGGTCTGGCTGTGCCATTGTCACCGCTCTGCTGCCACCGCTGGGATATTCCCGGTGTGTGTCATTGTCACGGCTCTGCTGCCACCGCTGGGACGTTCCCGGTGTGGCTGTGTCATTGTCACAGCTCTGCTGCCACCGCTGGGACATTCCCGGTCTGGCTGTGTCATTGTCACGGCTCTGCTGCCACTCCAGGGACATTCCCGGTGTGTGCCATTGTCACCACTCTGCTGTGGGGTAAGAGCTGTGCCTGGTGTGGCTGTGTCATTGTCACTGCTCTGCTGCCACCGCTGGGATATTCCCGGTGTGGCTGTGCCATTGTCACCGCTCTGCTGCCACCGCTGGGACATTCCCCGTGTGTGTCATTGTCACCGCTGGGACATTCCCGGTGCAGCTGCCGAGGCGTGGCTGGGTCTGCGTTTAGGGAGTAGTGCCGGGATCTGGCAGGGCTGGGATCTGGCACTGCTGGGCCAGCGAAAGGAGCTGGGGCTGTGTTCCTGTCCCCATCAGCATCCCAAACACAACTCTGGCCCTGCAGGGAAGGGGAAAACGGGGGGAAAAGGGGAGAAAAAAGGGGCAGAGCAAAGTCAGAGCCGTGCTGAGCTCCTGGAGGATGCAGGGCTGCTCCAGAGGGGCTGAGGGACTGCTCCAGAGGGGCTGCTCCAGAGGGGCTGAGGGACTGCTCCCACCAGGGGCTGCTCCCACCAGGGGCTGCTCCCACCAGGGGCTGCTCCCACCAGGGGCTGCTCCCCCCGGGGCTCCTCGCCAGCCCCAGCAGCGCTCCCGGGCGGGAGCAGCGTCACTCCTGCCCCGAGCATGGCAGCAGAAAAGCTCTTTCTTTGTCCCGGCCGCCGCCGGGCCGGGCAGAGCGGCAGCTCCGCCGAAGGGTCGAGTAAATGGAGCCACAAGTCAAGGACACAGGGATGGCTTTGTCTGCAGTGGGCTCGGGAGCGGCTCCCAAAGGGCAGCGGGGGCTGGGACACAACGGGGCAGGATGGGGCTGGGACATGGCAGGGCTGGATGGCACCAACCCCCCTGTGACAGCGACAGCGACACCAATGAAGCCCCGGGGCTGGCGGGGCAGAATTCCAGCCTGGCACGATCCCAGCCCAGCACAATCCTGGCTCAATCCTGACTCCAGCCCAGCACAATCCCAGCCAGGCACAGCAATCCCAGCCTGGCACAATCCCAGCCCAGCACAATCCTGGCTCAATCCTGACTCCAGCCCAGCACAATCCCAGCCGGGCACAGCAATCCCAGCCTGGCACAACAATCCCAGCCTGGCACAATCCCAGCCTGGTGCCAGGGGGGTGGCAGGGTGAGGTCCCAGCTCCTGCCGCAATTCCCAGCTCAGCCTCACTCTAGGATGGGCTGGGGGATGTGGCCTGGCCCTGGCACCGGCACCGGGCAAAGGCCCGGAGAGGGCACAAGGAGGGTGGGATGGGATGGATGGGGTGGGGTGGGATGGGATGGGGTGGATGGGATGGATGGGATGGGATGGAGGGGATGGGGTGGGATAGGATCAGATGGGGCACCCATGTGTTTCCCTGCCACAAGCCCAGACGGCTCCGCTCTCCCGGGACACGCCCGGGTGTGGCAGGAGCGGGGTCACTCCCGGACGGAGCCGCAGGGGCCGGGAAAGGAGCAAAGCCAGGCCCTGGAGCTGCGGGAGCGGCTCCGTGCGGGCTCTGGGCACCTGGGCTGCCTCAGGGCGGGTTTGGGGTCAGCTGGGGCAGCTCCCCTGGGTTTGGGGGCCGCAGCAGGAGCCGTGCCCCAAGGGACAGCGCTGGCACCGCCGCAGCCACCCTCAAGGCAGGGCACAGCCGTGCCTCATCCCGACCCCGATTTCCCTTCCCCTCCACCCCGCAGGGCTCCACCCTCGCTGGACAACGCCTGCCCCGTCCCTGGGGGGCTCTGAGAGCCCCGAGGCCGCCTCCAGGGAGCCGCTGAGCACCGAGGGGGGGCCCAGCACCGCGGCTGACACGGCCACCACCGTCATGGGCAGCTCGCAGCCCGTGGTCACCCACGGCACCAGCGACAACCTCATCCCCGTCTACTGCTCCATCCTGGCCGCCGTGGTGGTGGGGCTGGTGGCCTACATCGCCTTCAAGAGGTACCGGGACGGGGATTTGGGGAGCGGGGAACAGGGGGATCCCACAGCCACAGCTGCCACCACCAGGGGCACCAGGATGGGCAGATTTCCAAAATTGTGTGGGGGGTGAGGTGGCTGAGGGGTGAGGAGGGAGGTGGCAGCAGCGTGGGGGACGCACTGCAGCCTTGTCCCATTCCCTGTCCATGTCCCCCTCCCTGTCCCTGTGTCCCTGTCCCATTCCCTGTCCCTGTCTGTGTCCCTGTCCCTGTCTGTGTCCCTGTCCCTGTCCCATTCCCTGTGTCCCTGTCCCTGTCCTTGTCTCCTTGTCCCTGTCCCTGTCCCATTCCTTGTCCCTGTCCCCCTCCCTGTCCATGTCCCTGTCCGTGTCTCCCTCCCTGTCCCTGTCCTTTTCTCCTTGTCCCTGTCCCATCCCCTGTCCCTGTCCTGGCACCAGGGCAGAAAACAGAAACTGGGACAAACCCCAGGGAAGGGGACAAACCCCAGGGAAGGGGACAAAGCCCTGGCAGCCCCGGGGATGTCACCTGTGTGTCGCTGTCCCCGCAGGTGGAACAGCTGCAAGCAGAACAAGCAAGGGGCCAACAACCGCCCGGTGAACCAGACGCCGTCCCCCGAGGGGGAGAAGCTGCACAGCGACAGCGGCATCTCCGTGGACAGCCAGAGCCTGCACGAGCAGCAGCCCCCCGGGCAGGGCACCCAGGGGCCAGGTGGGGCTGCTGGGGTGGGCAGGGAGGATGGGCAGGGACAGCCTGGGATGGGCTGGGACACTCAGGGATGGGCAGGGACAGCCTGGGATGGGCTGGGACACCCCAGGGGTGGGTGGGGACAATCTGGGGTGGGCTGGAACATCTCAGGGATGGGTGGGGACACCGAGGTGGGCAGGGACAGCCTGGGATAGGCAGGGAGGATGGGCAGGGACACCCTGGAATAGACAGGGACAAACAGGGATGGGCCGGGAGGATGGGCACAGACACCCAGGGATGGACAGGGGATGGACAGGAAGGATGGGCACGGACACCCAGGGATGGACAGGAAGGATGGGCAGGGACAATTTGGGATGGGCAGAAACACTCAGGGATGGACAGGGGCACCCTGGGGATGGGCAGGGACAGCCAGGAATGGAGAAGGACACCCAGGTAAGGGCAGGCAGGACGGGCACAGACACCCAGGTAAGGGCAGGGACACCCAGGTAAGGGCAGGGACACCCAGGTAAGGGCAGAGAGGATGGACAGGGACACCCAGGTAAGGGCAGAGAGGACAGGCACAGACACCCAGGTAAGGGCAGGGACACCAGAGATGGACAGGGACACCCAGGTAAGAGCAGGGACACCCAGGTAAGGGCAGAGAGGACAGGCACAGACACCCAGGTAAGGGCAGGGACACCCAGGTAAGGGCAGGCAGGACGGGCACAGACACCCAGGTAAGGGCAGGGACACCAGGGATGGCCAGGGACACCCAGGTAAGGGCAGGGACACCCAGGTAAGGGCAGAGAGGACAGGCACAGACACCCAGGTAAGAGCAGGGACACCCGGGTAAGGGCAGGGAGGATGGGCACAGACCCCAGGTAAGGGCAGGGACACCCGGGTAAGGGCAGGCAGGACGGGCACAGACACCCAGGTAAGGGCAGGGACACCCGGGTAAGGGCAGGCAGGACGGGCACAGCCCCGGGCACACTCTCAGACCATTCCCCCTCTCTCCAGCAGCTCCCAAGGCGGACGGGAGCCCGTACTCGGCGCTGCCGGCCAGCAAGCAGGAGGAGGTGGAGAAGCTGCTGGGCAGCTCGGCGGAGGACACGTGGCGGCAGCTGGCGGGGGAGCTGGGCTACAAGGAGGAGCTGATCGAGTCCTTCACCCGCGAGGAGGCCCCGGCGCGGGCGCTGCTGGCGCACTGGGCCGGCCGCGAGTCGGCCACGCTGGACGCGCTCCTGGCCGCCCTGCGCCGCCTGCAGCGCGGCGACATCGCCGACAGCCTGGCCAGCGACTCCACCGCCACCTCCCCCGTCTGAGGGCCGGCCCCAGGGGCTGACCCTGCCCGGCCACGGGGGGAGATGGCGGGGTCAGCCCCAAGCAGGTCCCGGTACCGGTACCGGCCCCTGGTGGTGTTGGAGGGGCTCGGCCCCACCCTGATCGCAAATCCCGGCTGCGGGATGGACGGACAGATGGACAGATGGACACGGGAGAGAGCGCCGTGCTCTCAGCCCTCTCCTCTCCTCCCTTCCAGCTCCTTCTCTCCCTGGGGCTCCTCTTCCTCCTGCCCCACCCCGTTCCCCTCCAACACCCCCAAATCCGGCTGCTTTTACCCCAAAAGCGGGGAAGGGTGGGGTTGGGGCACCCTGGAGCCGCTGCCCCGGGATTTGGGGGCTCAGGGGGCTGGGGGAGGGGACCCGGCTCCCTACACTGTGAAATTTGGGGTGCAGCTCCCCACAGCTCCGCAGGGATTTGGGGGAGCAGCCAGGACCAGCCCGGACACTGAGGAGCAGATTTTGGGGTGCCAGGACCCCTCTGTGGGGGCTGCAGGGGCCACCGAGGGGACACTGAAGGTGGAAAGCGCTGACCAAGTGCCTGCCCCGCGGGGACACCCCCAGGGCCCTGCTCCTCCTTCCTGCCCTGTCCCTGAGCTGCAGGGACCTCTGAGGCCACCTTGCCACCCCTGCACTGTCCCCGAGCGGGGCCAGGCCACCCTGCCACCCCTGCACTGTCCCCAAGCGGGGCCAGGCCACCCTGCCACCCCTGCACTGTCCCCGAGCGGGGCCAGGCCACCCTGCCACCCCTGCACTGTCCCCAAGCGGGGCCAGGCCACCCTGCCACCCCTGCACTGTCCCCGCTGTCCCCACCCTGCTGAAAGGGCTCCTGCTGTGCCAGCACCGTCAAGGGCAGCTCTGCCCCCGGGGTGACACTGGCACCGTCTCGGGGAGGTGACATCGGTGACATCGGGCAAGGGAATGGCCCGGGGTGACATTGGCACCTTCTCGGGGAGGTGACGTCGCTCAAAGGGCGTTTTGGGGCCGTTTTGGCCCCAGCTGGGCAAGCTGGGGATGTCCCCTGAGTGGCCTGGAGATGTCCCCTGGGCTGTCACCAGCCTCGGGATGTCCCCTGAGTGGCCACCAGTCCAGGAAGTGTCCCCTGAGCTGCCCCCAAGCTCCCGGCAATGTCCCCAACCTGAATTTCCAGGTGTGGGCACAGCCCTGAGCCAGGTGTGGCCGCCCCTCCCCTCTGGATTCATCCCAAAATTCCTGGCCGAAGGCAGAACCGGGGTTTTTGGGCCCTCCCGGAGGAGAGACTTGTACATAGGAATTTGGTGTTTGACCCAGTGCTCGATGTGACCCCTGGGGACAGCCCTGTCCCCTCCCCACTTCCAGCTGGGAATTCCCAGCCCAACCCTTTGGTCCCCCCTCGTTTCTGGCCTTAAAGGCTCCACGGGGAGGCAGAGGAACCAAAATCCCACAGTTCACCCCCAAAATCCCACAGTTCACCCCCAAAATCCCACAGCAGCGTTGGGATGTTCCCAGCATCCAGCTCCAGGGGCTGGAGCAGCTTCCATGGGAATCCAGCGCCCAGATCCTCCGGAATCTTATGGAAATTTCCCTCCCGTTGTGCTCTGGATCATGGAGAAGCCAGGCTGGGATTTGGGGGATTCCAGCACCCAGATCCTCCAGAATCTTCTGGAAATTTCCCTTCCATTGTGCCCTGGATGATGGAGAAGCCAGGCTGGGATTTGGGGGATTCCCACCCAGATCCTTTGGGAAGAGCCACCCCTGGCTGGAAGGGCTGAAAACCCCAAATCCAAGTCCCAAATTCTTCCCACCACCCAAATCCAAGGAAATTTGCCCCAAATTTCCAACCCCACTCGCAGTGGGCTGGAAACCCCCAGCTCCTGCCAGACCGAGCCACACAACGGGATGGATTTGGGATGGATTTGGTGTTGATCTGGGATGGATTTGATGTTGATTTGGGATGGATCTGGGACGGATTTGAGGTGAATTTGGGATGGATCTGGGGGATGGATTTGGGATGAATTTGGCATGAATTTTGGATTAATTTGGAATGGATTTGGCATGAATTTTGGATTAATTTGGGATAGATTTGGGAGATGGATTTGGGATGGATTTGGGTTGGATTTTGGATTAATTTAGGATGAATTTGGGATGGATTCCATCGCTGGCCACCTTCAGGTAGCTCCCACTGGTCTGGGATTTTGGAAAGCGACTCCGGGGCAAGCCGAGGGTGCCTGGATCGAGGTGCCCGAACCCAAACCGAATTTCCTGGCAGAGCCAGCCCAGCCCAGCCTCTCCCGCTGGGAATTCTGTTCCTCAGGACATCCCCGCCTCACCCTCAGGTTTCCATTGCCATGGGAAGGGATTTCAGCGCCCCCAATCCCAAAAAATCAGATTTTCAGGGCCGAGGGAACGGGGACAAACTCAGCATCCAAAGAGGAGCCGGGAGCTGCCTCAAACCCCCCTGGCTGCGGGGGGAAATAAATGGAAATAAAACTCAAAAAAACACCAAAAAAAACCCCCCCAAAGCCAGGAGGGAAACCCAAGCCAAAGCCAGAGCTCGTTTCGTGTTGTACCAAGCCCGTGTGTTGCTCCACTCCCCACTCTGTAATTCCAGGGCCGATTTCGTAGGAATAGAAGGATTTGGGGGGGTCTGGGGGCAGCATGAGCCGGGGGGGATGCACGGGGGAGGCCCAGGGGGGTGGAATTTGTCCGTGTGTATCCTTGGGATGCCAATAAAGAGCATCCGTTGTCGTTGTCCCGCTCGCTTCTTCCTGATCTCCCAAAAAAAACAAACCAAAAAACCCTGGGAATCCAGGATGGGAAAAAGCCCTCAGCGCCTTCCCGATGGGATTTTCACTGGGAACATTCCCATTCTGATCCCAAATCCCTGAACTCCCAGAGCAGGAAAAGCAGGAAGCAAGCTGGGCTTCGTGTGTGGGATCAGGGACAGCAGATTTATGGGGAGAGAGGGGGAAAAAAAAAAGGGAAAATTTGGAATAAATCTGGAAAGGGGCCTGATGTTCTCACGGGCTGGGGAAATCCTTGGAAAAGCTCCTTCCCCTTTTTAATGGGACTCAGGGGAGGGCCAGAGCTGCTGAATCCCACATCTGCTGCCAGGGGGGGCGGCAGGGCCAGATCCCTGCTGGATCCACAGGGAAAAATCCCAAACCCAGCTCTGGGGCCTGGGAAAACGCAGCAATCGCTTGGAAAAAAAAAACGGGGAAAAAATTCCAAATTAAACTCCATGGAGGCGCTTTTCATTCAAACTCCTGCAGGGAGCCGGGAGCTTCCCTTGGAGCGGGAACGAGATGGGAAAGGAAAAGCGGGAAGGGAAAAGCGGGAAAGGGAAAAGCGGGAAAGGGAAAAGCGGGAAAGGGAAAAGCGGGAAAGGGAAAAGAAGAAAAGGAAAGTGGGAAAGGAAAAGCAGGAAGGGAAAAGTGGGAAAGGGAAAGCGGGAAGGGAAAAGTGGGAAAGGAAAGCAGGAAAGGAAAGGGGGAAGGGAAAACCGGGAAGGGAAAAACCGGGAAGGGAAAAAAGGGAAAAAAAAAGCGGGAAGGGAAATCCGGGAAGGGAAAGTGGGAAGGGAAAAGAAGAAAAGGAAAGCGGGAAGGGAAAAGCGGGAAGGGAAAGCGGGAAAGGAAAGAGGGAAGGGAGAACCGGGAAGGGAAAAACCGGGAAAGGAAAGCAGGAAGGGAAAAAAGGGAAGGGAAAAAGGGAAAGGAAAGAGGGAAGGGAAAAGCGGGAAAGGAAAAGCGGGAAGGGAAAAACCGGGAAGGGAAAAACCGGGAAGGGAAAAAAAGGAAGGGAAAAGCGGGAGGGAAAAATCGGGAAGGGAAAACCGGGAAAAAATTATGGGAAGGGAAAAGCGGGAAGGGAAATCCAGGAAGGGAAAGTTGGATTTCCCAGGGAGCAGCAGCGGCCGCAGCCGACGATCCCGAATCTCCCGGGAATTTCCTCCCCACCCCGGCTGCCTCCCCCGGCTCCATCCCGGCTTTGGGGGCGCAGCTCCCGCAGGGAATGGGGGGGTTTGGAGCCGTTCCCGGTCCCCGGGCGGGATCAGCCCCCCCGACCCCCCCAGGCTGGATCTGCCGCCCAGATGGAGCCGCATTCCCGGGTAATGGGAAGCAGTTGGAGCAAAGGGCGCTGCTCCATCCCCCGGGCCCAGCTGCGGCCCTGGGTTTTCCAAAACATCCCGCGGGACCCCCTTTAACCCTTCCAGGACCTCGGGAGAGCCGGGAATGCCCCCCCGGCCCCGCCTGGATGGGGATTTAATTCCAATTTCCTCTCTGGGGCCGGCGCTGAGCCTTTAATCCCCCCCAGGCGCGGGGGTCGCGACCCTGGCACCGCCTCCCGCTCCCAATTCCCGATCCCGGCCCCTTCCCGCTCCCAATTCCCGATCCCGGCCCCTTCCCGCTCCCAATTCCCGATCCTGGCCCCTTCCCGCTCCCAATTCCCGATCCCGGCCCCTTCCCAGCGCGGACTGGGAGCGACGGGGCCGGGCCGGGCTCGGGCCGGGGTCCTGGGGGGTCCCTGGGGAGGGGACCCAGCCCGGATTCCCTGGAATCCCCCCGGGATTGGGGAAAACCCGGAGGGCCCCAAACCGCACCTGGGAGGGGCACAGAGGGATTTGGGATCCGGAGGGATTTGGGATCAGGAGGGATTTGGAATTTTTAGGTCCCTAAACCTCCCAGGATCCAGAGGGATTTGGGATCCGGAGGGATTTGGGATTTTTAGATCTCTCTCTTTTCCTCCTCCTCCGTTGTTGTTGTTGAGAGAGATATCTCTCTCTTTTCCTCCTCCTCCGTTGTTGTTGTTGAGAGAGATTTGGGATCCGAGAGGATTTGGGATCTGGAAGATTTTGGGATCTGGAAGGTTTTGGGATCTTTAGGTTCCTTAACCTCCCAGGATCCAGAGGGATTTGGGATCTGGGAGCATTTGGGATCCGGAGGGATTTGGGATTTTTAGGCTCCTAAACCTCCCAGGATCCAGAGGGGTTTGGGATCTGGGAG